AAGATACAATGCATAAGAGCCCGCTAGGTATTAGTATGGGAGCTCTGGTAGCATGGTGCCTAAGGCACTTGACTGCTAACCAGAAGGCTAGCGGTTCAAACCTGCCAGCCACTCCTCGGAAGAAAGATGGGGCAATCTACTTCCATAGTGATACTGCCTTGGAAGCCCAAGGAGGTGTCGCTATGAGTTGGTCCGACTTGAAGGCACATAACAACAACAACAACAACAGGTATTAGTATGCTTTTCACTGTTCCATAAAAATGCAAACTGAGTTCTAGGAAATCTGAAAATGAAGTGTTACTATTCTTGTACAATCAAGTTTATTGTTTTCCTATTCAATTTATTAAATAGTTTCAACTTATGACAATAAATACCACGTTTGAAAATGATCTACACCTAAAATTTTTAAATAGCATCTTTTAATATGATTATGATACAAACATTGATAAATAAGGATAAACTATGTATTTCACATGTTTCATTTTTAAATAAATTTTCATGGTACTTATAAGTAGCTTAATGATACAGAAGAAAAAGAAAATTTGCCAGATAAAGTTTTTCTCATATACTTTTTTTTTTTTTTAAATTAAGTGTATGTATCATAGTAAGGAGCTCTGGTGGCATAGTACCTAAGGCATCTGACTGCTAACCACAAGGTTGGAAGTTCAAACCCACCAGCCACTCCACGGAAGGAAGACTGGGCAATCTACTTCTGTAAAGATTTACAGCCTTAGAAACCCAAAGGGGGTCGCTATGAGTTGGAATCGACTTGATGGCAGTGAATTTGTTTTTTTTGTTTTTTGTTTTTGGTAGTAAATCTGAAAGCCCCGAGTATAGAAAGGAGTCTTACCCCTGAAAATGAATAAGGTTGTCAAAACATAGATTTATACATGTAGGGATGACTAGTAGGAATTTCAGAGCTGTAGAAATATCAATCTCATTTTCTTCATTTTATTTTATGTCTAAAGTGGGAAGGGAAATGCAGATGTAAAGTGAAGTTTCTCTCTTTCAATGTGGAATACATGACAGTCAATCATATACTGTTCTTAGCATAAACACTTACCTTTCTATATAAATATTTCAAGAGAACTATCATTGTGTAGGGGAGCTCTAGTGCCAGAGTAGTTAAGCACATGGCTGCTAAGTGAAAGACTACTGGTACAAACCCATCACCCCTCTGTGGGAGAACGATTTGGCAGCCTGACCCCTTAAAGATTAAAGCCTTGGAAAGGCAGTTCTACTCAGTCCTATAAGGTGGCTATGACTCAAAATTGATTCGATGGAAGGGGGTTTATTTCTTTGTTCTAGGACTGTAATTACTAAAGCTGTTTTCAGAGATTTCTTTTCCAAATTCATCCCCCAAAATTCTCTCTCCACACAATATTCTCCACTTCTCCTTACACTCATGTTAAAGTTAGAAGGGTAGGGAAAAGGTGCAGTGAGGAGAAAGCCTTAATAAGACATTAGTTCAAGAGAGACAACAGTGCAGACTTCATGCGGACCAATGTTGTGGAAATGTGAAAGAAGCTGTCACATCGCCTCAATTACTTATGGGTCTTTTAAAGAAAGTTTAGCAAATAGCCAATTTGAAGACTGAGTTTATTTAAGCCACATGAAAAAGCACATCCCCGATCCCTAGTCAACCTCTTTAATACAAGACCATGTTCCCTAAAGTTTTGTGTGTGTGTGGGGGGGTAGTTTTCTGAATGGAATTTAAGCATCTTACATTTTGTGACTGTAGAGTAACACAGCCTCCAGACACCAGGTTTGCTCACATCCTCATGCTCACATCTCTGCCAAATACCAATTACCAGATGCTTTGGTGGAAAAAAAAAAAAAAAGGACTCTTAATATGTGATAGATTTATCTTCAGACCATAAGCTTTCATCTAAAACTATTTTACCTCAATTAAAATTGCAAAATGGGCAACTCTACAACTGAGCAATCTGTCTATCTATCCGTTATCACTCATAGCTCTTCCCCAGTAGAAACAGTATCATGTTACTGAGCTTAACTAATATTATTGCTGAACAGATCACAGGCATGCCTCAAGACACTATGGATGCTTAATACTTCTCACATCCTAAATGCTCAACAGTTTGCAGCTCCAAGAGGGGAAAAAAAAAACCACTGAGAAGAAATCAAACTAAGAAAATTCTACTCCCACATGTGTGAGGCAATAAAAAGAATGTGAAAAAAACTTTTTTAATGTCTTCCATAAACCCAAAAACTGAGATAACCACCATAAAGCACTTACTGTTGTTTGATTTAAATGATAGTATGTTGTATTTTAATATTACACTTAGAATTATCTAAGCTTTTCTGACAAATGCTATGTATCTGATTCCAGGCCCCATTCCCTGCTGTTTTGTGAAGTATGAGAAGTAGCAAATCAAATTTCCTAGAGCAGTATCCCAGATGGGCTTCCCTGGAGAGGCTAGCAAATAATGTCTCAAGGGTATCTTGTTCTTTAGTCTATAGAGAAACATGGAAAATATCTCTCAAGGTATTTTTATGAAACACAATAAAAGACATCATTTTATTTAAGGACTCTAAGGTTTACTTTAAGCTTAGCAAACCACCAAATTTATAAAGACTTTTTTTCTTACTTGAATTTTAAATTAAGTGTTAGTAAGAGCCTGGGTACAAATGTCATAAATCTTATATATGTTACTTATATATTAAATGAACTGAAATTATTATTACTTTTGTTTACAAAAGTAATTAAATCATATTTTTTAGCTCAATGGGTGAATGCCCTTATTCAGCAAGCATGTAATGTGTTTACTGTGGAAGGAGCTCTGGTAGCACAATGGTTAAAGCACTTGGCTGCCCAAAAGATTGGTGGTTGGAACACACTAGCCACGCTGCTGGAGAAAGATGTGGCAGTCTGCCTCTGTAAAAGATTACAGCCTTGGAAATCCTATGGCACAGTTCTACCCTGTTCTATAGGGTGGCTGTGAGTCTAAATTGACTGCATGACAATGGGTTTGTTTTGGTTGCTTTGTTGTTCCCTGTGAGTAGTTTCCTAATCTAAATATATGAGCTGGTTTAATAGTGATTAAAATGATAAAAGAATAGAAATGAAGACAGACAGAACAAAGGACCACACTTTTCCCCAAGCTGCCCTCTTCTAATTGACTTTAGTTGCTTTATTTTATATTTTTTCCAAAAGATAGGCTAACCAGTTGATCTGTCTTGGTCCCAAACACTTCAGTTTTGTTTCCTGCATTAGAATGTTATCAGGAATAGACAGCAATTTTTTTAAAAAAACAGGAAATGTCAACATAGTATGTATGTTAAGCCTGTCTATCATCCACACTGAGTCATAAGAGCCATACAGTGACAATGCTGAGTGGAACCCAATGCAATCCCAGGACTAAAAGCAGTTAGAATAGAAGGTAAAGGATTGGTGAATAGCAAACAATGAAAAGCAAATTCCCAACAGTTGCCAAAAAGGAGTTGATTGGCTCCATGTATTTCAAAGACAATTGGGATTAGATTATAAAACCGGATGAATCAATTTTACACTACATATCATTTCCCAGAGTAAGGCAAGGTTAACGTGCATTTTCTAAATGCTTTGTAGGACAATCATTTCAGACACTTATATATTACACTTTCTCCACCCCCCATAATCAATGCAAATAGTTCATGCATATAATTCTAAAATTCAGGTCTAAAATGTAAGCTACTATCAAGTATGGAAATTCCTAAAAAAGACTCTGCCTTATTTTTGTATCCTAAAATAAAAGTCACAAATCAAACAGTATAATCCAATAAAATATTACAACAGGCAAGATTTTGGCAATGAAAACATTTTCAGATCTTCTATTGCAAAGTTAAAAAATAAATTAAATGATGCAAAAAGGCTATTTTAACATTTTTAAAAGCAGAAATGCATCAGCAGATATTAAAACCATGGGAAGTAGTAAACCCACTGCCTACAAGTGAGACACTCATTAGCTTCACCTTATTTACATAGTTTAATGACTTCCCAGCCATCAAAGAGAACTGGAGTTTTCTGAATTATAAATACTGTGATCTAAAATAGCCCTCTTGTGGTAAAAGGTCATATTTCATTATTTTTTAAAAATTTTAATAGTGGTATCTGTTTGTTAAAGACATTTTTAGTAAATTGGCAAATGGTTTCTATATTTCTTAGATTTACGATTAATGATTTTCATGAAATACTTTGATTTTTACTTAATTTATGTTTCATTTTTTAAAAATTCACATTTTATGCCCAGACATAAAAATATTCCACAAATTTAATTAGTCTGCATTTTTCTACTGACTCCATAGAAATTATCCACTCTCATTTTAAGCAAATGTAAACATGGCAAATATATTCTGACTTCTACTTTAGGTAGTAGTGAATCAATATAGTATCATTGCTACAATTAAAAAGCATAAAACGTTTTCAGTTTTTCAGTGCATAAAATGGTTTATCAACTTACATACAACTTGAGGGTGTGTACCAGGCTGTGTATTTGAAACAAATTTTGATAACAATTAAACTTTCTGTAGAAGCTTAATTCCCAAGTGGGGATCTTCACCAAACTTCTGTCTTTATAGGTGGGGATAAGCTTATAATTTACTATTTTCTTAAACTATTTAATTCACAAAAGTGATTCTTATGACTCAACATGTCTTTCTCTAACATCTGGTAATGACAGAACCACATATTTTCAAAGTTCTCGGATTTAGATAGTGGTCAAATAAGAAACAATAAACTACTTTAAATCTTGTTTCCTTCTAACTTCATCAATAAAGCACATTTTAATAAATCTAAGAATTAATTTACCTTACTTTTAATGTGCTAGACTGTAGTTCAAATAAACGTCATGAGATTTTAATGCACTAAAATGCCATTCAAGGTTTATACTGAAAAAACTTGTGAGCTGTTATTATGAATACAATCCTATAAGCACAATTTCTAAATAAATCCTACCAAAATAACCAATCCACACATATAAAAGCAAGAGTGAATGCATTACCTTTGTGTTGGAAAAAGAAACTTCTCTGGCTCAATTGGATCTGCAAATGATTGCAGCAGCAACAACCTTAAGTGGCTGCAATAACACAGCACAACAGAAAGCAACAAGTTGGCAGGAGCAGCTCCACAAAGCAGCAGGACCGACTGAATGACAAGCACATGCAGATTGCTTTGAATTAGGCATGTTAGGGGCTGGAACTTCTAGTGTTTGCTCTCCTATAGGACAGAAGAGTTTTTCTCCTACTTAACCCCTAGGGGCAAGGTCTTAATAATGGTAACAGCTGGCATGCAGAGGGGCTTGATCTGAGCACAAGGTCAGCAAGCCAGGATATGAAGGTGACATGTAATTTCTAGTCTTTTCCTGCTTCTACAGGGAAATTTCACGAAGGGCTGTTCTTAGTTATACCTTCCTTTGATCTTTTGGATTTAAAGTTACTTAGTAGATTAAAGCCATGTTAGCTGATATTATTTGCTTGCTTAGACTAACTTAAGTGTTACAGATTCAGTTTTCTGACACATAGTGCTACTACTTTTAAACTAACACAAATAAACACCAATCCGTGTTTATTTCCAAGTTCCGGGGATTCTTGTGTTCTTTCACAAATGGCTCTTGAGACCCTGCTCTTGGGACAGAAAGTTCATAGTTTTTAATAGAGTTGTCTTTTTTAAAGAGGAAAATATTATTTACAGCAGTTATATGTGTATTATTTTCAATTTTCCTAAACAAAAACAGCAGTTTGTTAAATGAATTTGACACTGTTTTTTAATAAATTTATGGCCCTGATGATGCCAGTATTTAAATTCCACAACCACAATATAAAACCTTGTAAATACCTGCGAACAAATGCTTTGAATTTACAAATGACATCCCTTGGCAAATAAGTGATAATTTACTGAAACCATGAAATCTAACTCTTTATGACTTCTATAACAAAAATATGTAAACAACTCTTTTAGCAGGCTGAATTAATTATTAGAAGACAGAACTTTCAAAAAATAAAGAAGGTAAAAACAAAAGCACAAGTCAACAAAGAAAAAACAGATAAACTGGACTATCAAAATCAAACTTTTGTACATCAATGGAAATTATCAAGAAAGTGAGAAGGTAATTCATAAAATGGAGAAAAACATTTCTAAATCACGTATCTAAGGGTCTAATATCCAGACTACACACACATACATACATACATACATGTTGTTGTTATGTGCCATTGAGTCGGCCCCAACTCATAGCGACCCCTCCTTGGGTTTCCGAGGCAGTATGACTACAGAAGTAGGATTGCCCAACCTTCCTTCTGAGACATACACACATACACATATATATTTTCTTAAACCTGAACAATAAAAAGACAAATAACCCAATTGAAAATGGGCAAAGTTTTTGAATAAACATTTCACCAAAGAAGACATACAAATGCATGCCAAAACATATATGAAAATATGCTCAGCATCATTAGTCATTAAACCAATTGCCCAATGAGTCAATTCTGACTCAGAGAGACCCTACAGCACAGAGTAGAACTACCCCATAGGGTTTCCAAGACTGTAATCTTTATGGAAGCACACTGCCAAATCTTTCACCTTTCTTCTGCTGAGTGGCTAGTGGGTTTGAATCACTGACCTTCTGATTAGCAGCTGAACACCTAAACACTGTGCCACCAGAGCTACACAGTCATTAGAGAAATGAAATTGAAACTATAATGAGATACTACTTCACTCCCACAACCACTATCAGTTGCCATTGAGTTGACTGCAACTCTTGCCCAAGTGTCTCAGAGAATTGCACTCCATAGCGTTTTCAATGGCTGATTTTTCAGAAGTAGATTGCCAGGCCTTTCTTTATAGGCACCTCTAGGTAGATTAGAACTGTCAGCCTTTTGGTTGGGAGCTCAGTACTTAACCATTTGTGCCACCAAAGACTCCTCAGCCCCAGTAGGATGGGTATTAAAAAATAGAAAATAACAATTGTTGGCAAAAATGTGGAAAAACTGGAAACCTCATACATTGCTGGTGGATATGCCCTATTATTTTTTCCCAAACAACATGCCCACATAAGTAACATGCACACACATATAATGGGCAGAAATGATGAAACTTTGTTAAAAAGTTCTGGCATAGTGATTCATGTGTACACTGTGCATGTCTTGTGACATTTTCAGAAGGGAATTTCAGCCTCATTTACCCTCATTCACTAGTCTGAAAATGTTACTTGTGATAGCATTTGTATAATAAAGGTATAAGCCATGGTCAAATTTGGTAGTACCCTAGTAATAGAAAAATAAACAATGTAAACTGTGCATTTGCTCTGGGGCAGTTCATGGCCGTGCCTGAGAGTGGCAGAGTTCCTTGTAGCTGATCTGTGCCCAGGTACACAGTGCATGAGATGGTGGAGGGTCCAGTGGAGGACCGTGCACAGGGCTGCCACAGACCAAGTACAGGCTGCTGGTACTCAGTGGGTGGAGGTGGGGGTGGGAGATCCAAATGGCCAAAGTTTGCAGCCCGCCTCTGGTGATGCAATGTCTAAGGCATCTGACTGACAACCAGAAAGTCAGTGGTTCAAACTCACCAGCCACTCCACCGAAGGAATATGAGGCAATCTACTTCTGTAAAGATTTACAGCCTCGGAAACCCAATGAGTGTCACTATGAGTCAGAATCAACTCGACGGCAGTGAGTTTGGTTTTTTGGTCACCCGCGCAGGGCTGAATGTGTGCAGCTGTGGCAGCTGGCCTTCTACACTTGAGTGGTCTCTGCTGCCCAGGGTGAGCAGACCCACGGCCTTCTATTCTAGGCTGGGGCTGGCCATCCTGGTGAGGGCTGTTTCCAGGTGGCAAAAGTGATTTCTTCCTGCATTGGAGAAAACAGTTTAAAGAGAAGAAAAGGAAACTGGACAGGAGAGGGGGTGCTTTAGAAACTCGAAGGCAGGCTGGTGAGGGTCTCTGGGAAGCAAACTTTTGCATGAACAGGCACCAAGACAAAACCTTAACATTAAATCTATTGGGTAGAAAAAAACAATTGAAGTCAATAACATGAAAAAATATTGGTATTGGGTGTTCATGAAAACAATTCATGGGTGCAGTTGCATGGCATGCAAAAAATGTTCAATATGCACATTATTTCTGTAAAAATACAGTAAAAATGATACAGTTGTTGTTGAAAACAATTTGGTAGTTCCTTAAAAAGAATTACCATGTGATCCTCAGCAACACTATTCCTAGGTATAGACCCAAGAGAACTGAAAATATATGTTCAGACAAAAACTTGCACATGAATGGTCAGAACACCATTATTCACAAGAGCAAAAAAGTGGAAAGAACCCAAATGGCCATCAACAGATGAATGGATCAATAAAATGGAATATTATTCACTCATAAAAAGGAATCACATACTAATACATGCTGCAACACAAAAGAACTTTTGAAAACGTCATGCTGGATGAAAGAAGTCAGTTAAAGAAGACCACATATGACATGTCCAGAATACTCATATTTATAGACATGAAAGGGAGCTCTGGTAGCATAGTGCTTAAGGCATTTGACTGCTAACCAGAAGGCTGGTAGTTCAAACCCACCAGCCACTCCTCAAAAGAAAGGCTGGGCAATCTACTTCCATAATGACACCATCTCAGAAACCCAAGGAGGGGTCACTATGAATCCGGGCCGACTCCACGGCACATAACAACAACAACAACACAGAAATGAAAAGTTGATTAGTTATTACCAGGACATAAAGAAAAAGGAAATTGGGGTTGACTGCTAATGGGTATAGGATTTCTTTTTAGAGTGATGAAAATCTTCTAGAATTGGATAATGTGCTTGGTAGCACAATCTTGTGAATATACTAAAACCCACTAAATTGCACACTTTAAAATGGTAAATTTTATTGTATGTGTATTATATAAAATAAAGAAAGAAGATACTAAGTTCTAGCCATTAGACCACTGGTTCTCAAATTTGAGTGTGCATCAGCATTCTCTGGAAGGCTTGTTAAAACACAAATTGCTAGACTCTGTCCCCAAAGGGTCTAAATCTGTAGGTCTGGGGATGGGACTGAGAATTTGCTTTTCTAACAAGTTTCTGCTGCTGCTGTCTTTGACCCACATTTTGGGAACCACTGCATTAATGACTATGTGTGAACTCCTAGAAGGTAGAGATAGCTTCATCTCTGTATCTCCTACATTTACTGAGAACAAAGTCAGTTTTGGGGAAGAAAGGGACAGGAAAGGGAGAGAGGAAAAAGAAGTATTCACTAAAGTAAATATATTAAATGATTCTACCTCTGGAATGTTAGGGTGTGCTGTTTTCATGTAACACCCATGCCAAGTGCTATTAATCCTAAAAATCTTCAAGACAAAACGGAATTAAAGAATGAAAATGAAGGTATTTTCACATGCTTTGATCATTTCTACAGTACTTTGATTTAATTTATTAAAGCAGCTAATCCTGTTTCACTGTGCTTATTGCTGCAAGAAATGCAAAGGTTCTAGAATGTTGATCCCATAAATTACTTCAAGCAAGCACTTGAATTAGCTAAGGTGTCACAGCAACTAAAGACCTGAACTCTCCAATTCATAAACCTGGAAATTCTATTTACATTTTTACCAAAGTCTGTAGGGCTAACCAAATTATTTTAAAAGGTAGAATCCATGGGAAATCAGAACATATAAAGTACACTTCTGATATTGTCACATTTAACACATTATAATAAATAATCAACAGGATTATTGCCAACCACTCCAGTATGTTCTCAATATTTTACTTAGAGTAAAAAATAAAGTGCTAGTGAGTGACCTTACAGAGATTTCTGAAAACAATGTCCTTTTCCCTTTTCTTTTTTTAAATTTGCATTTACATTTAATTATCTTATAAAGATACAAGACCTCTATCATATCTAGAATTAACTGAAACTCTGCAAAGAGTAAATCTCTCTCTCTTTTATATATATATATATATATATATATTCGTGTGTGTGTGTGTGTGTAACTTTTTATTGTGATTTGAGTGAAAATTCACAAAGTAACTTGGTTTTCCATTCAACTGTTCATACATATTTTGATTCATGACATTGACTGCAATCCCCACAATTAAACAGCACTACCCACTTCCTCCTTGACATTCCTGTTTCCATTTACCCT